TTCTCTTGTAATAAGGGAATCACCACTATGTTGGAAATCAGATCACAAATATACTTTTATTATAGTTTAACACTATTCATGGATTAGTATATGTTATTCATATGTAAGGTGATAGTGGTTTGATAATTAAGGGGGAAAATATGGATGTACTTAGGAGTGCTGCTTCTTACATTTCCCACAACAACTTTTTTGTCTTTATATAACATTTTCCTTTCACTAGTAGCTACTTTTATCCTATTTTGCAATATTCAATATTATTTGTGCGTTATTAAAAAACAATTAGTTAATTGCACAGTTTTTTATTGCCTTCTAATAAAGTTGTCAGAGGCCCTTTTTATGGATACAGAATTCTGTTTAACTCACATTATTTTGTTTTAAGTATTTTTTCAAATAAAAAAGAAAGATTGTATACATTAGCCTAAGACCTGGGAGACAGGTGTTTAATTTTTTGTGCAGTTCCATCTTTTATTGAAGCAAATCTACAATATCCACTGTTTTATGAGAAATTAAATATTAGAGTAAGTCAGTCTACAGATAATTAATTGGAGAGCCAGTTTGGTGTAGTGGTTAAGTGCTCGGACTCTAATCTGGGAGAACCGGGTTTGATTCCCCACTTCTCCACTTGCACCTGCTGATGTGACCTTGGGTCAGTCAAAGCTCTGGCACAGCTGTCCTTGAAAAAGAGCAGTTTGTGTCACAGTTCTCTCAGCCCCACCCACCTCACAGGGTGTCTGTTGTGGGGAGGGGAAGGGAAAGGAGTTTGTAAGCCGCTCTGAGACTCCAAGTGAAGGGCGGGGTATAAATCCAGTCTCTTCTTCTTCTTCTTCTACAGCACTGGGTAGAGAGTAAGTCAGTCTACAGCACTGGGTAAAGATACAAGAAGACCAGAAGGATTTGCAGAGGGCATCTCATTCCCCCCTGTATTCACTTTAGGGTTGCCAGTGGGGATTCCCACCCTCAGTTGGTGTTTCTTGCTGCCACTTACAGTGATGGTGGGAGAAAAATAAACTGAAAACTGAAAATTCTGGCCTTTCTCATAAGCAATGTCAGTCCTCTCTAGGAATTGCCAAATTGTCAAATAAAATGGTTTTACCACTGGCCACTCTTCATGACCTTGCCCACCTGGTCTCTCACTGATCTCTCCACCTCCCCCACCACTTTCTCTTCCCTTCCTGGGCAACCCTTTTAGCATCTTGCCTTTTCCTGCTTCCTTTTTGCTTTCCCACCCAGCAGCCAACCTACAGGCCTATAACCAACGAGCCCTCCTCCATCAGGGTACATGACAGGGAAGGGGGACTGGTCCATTTCTGGGGCTGTTTAAGTATGCTTATTGTTTAACAAATATGCTTATTGTTTAAATGTGAATAATTCTGGCAACAATTAATAATCATTATATACTATACTAGCCTGATACCCGTGCTTTGCTATGGTATTTAAGTTCCATAAATCCAGTTATAATACTGATGATGTGAAGTTTGAAATGTAACATTTGTTGTAGGAATTCTAATGGAGCAGATTGTAGTGTAAAAAATGAAGTGAGACATACATACTGTTTTTTTCTCTCTCTCTACTGAAGGGCCTCTCTGTAAACCACATTGGTGGTTCTGCCCTCAGGTGCTAGGATCACTAGGCTGCTTGATGAGCTCACTCTGAAGCAGTCCATATGAGAAGCAATCATCTGTTAAGTCAATTCCTGCCACCTTCAGTGTCTGGCCTTGGGACTTGTTGACGGTCATAGCAAAGCAGATCTTGAAGGGGAAGTAGACTCTTGAACTCAAAGGGGTTTTCTGATGGTATGAGTGATATGTGTAGTATGAACACTGACTCTCCCTGAGCAATGCCAGTGAGCAATGTGGTCTCGATGATGTTCCTGTGCAGGGCCTTCACTTGCAGTCTGGTGTCATTGCAGAGTTTCGGTGGGTTGAGATTCCATAGCAGCATCACTGGAGCCCCCACTTTGAGGAGAAGCTTGCGGGCTGTTTTTACCTCAGAACATTGAGATCCACAGCTAAGCAATCAGAGGGAGGGGGGTGCAAGCAGGCAGGTTTTACCTCAGAACTCTGAGCTACACGGTTGACCAGTGGGGGGGGGGCGGGCAAGGAGGCAGCAGCCTACCAGGCACATGGAAAGCAATTGGGGGAACACATTTTGCCCCTTTTTTACCCCCTTAGGGTCATGTTTCTCAGAAATCTCTTCGGAGTGGGGGTTGACGTCATGGAAGGCAGTGTTCCCTCTAAGCTGAGTTAGTGTGAGCTAGCTCACAGTTTTTTAGCCTCCGGCTCACAAATTTTTCTCTTAGCTCAGGAAGGATGGCTCCAGACCTAACTAATTTATGCAGTAGCCAAATCACTTGCTCACAACTTTAATGCCATTAGCTCACAAAGTAGAACTTTTGCTCACAAGACTGCACAGCTTAGAGGGAGCATTGAATTGGTAGGAATACACTTTTCTTATTTTGGGTTTCTTGGTTCAGGGGTTTGGCCTGGGCATTGATTTTTTTTGGGGGGGGATGCAAAGCATACCTCCCCCTTTTTAAAAAAAGCTTCTTATTTGTGTTATATTTAAGAAGTGGGACATAACTATGTATTCAAAACAACATCTGAGCAATCAGATATTAAGCAAGTTCATATGAACCAATTTTCTGGAACCCACATTGTAAGAAGTTAAATAACGTAATACAGGAAACCACTTTTCTACAAATTTGGGGTATATTTCCATAGTGGGTGAGAGTGTGGCTAAAACCATTGATGAGGCTGGGCCAGCAGCATTGCTAAGGTGATCCTGCTGGGGTGACCTCCCTGATGGATTAAAGTACCCTGGCCCTGCTCCTCCATCTGTCAAACAACTGCCTGTCTGGTGTAAGGGGGGGGGATTGTGTTTAAAGGCATTGGGGAGGCTGGGCCAGCAGCAGCGCTAAAGCAATCCTGCTGAGCAAGCCTCCCCAATGGTTTTAAAGACTGCCTGTCAGGTGTAGGAGGTGCTGGGGTGTTTGAAGCCATGGGGAGGCTGGGCCAGCGGCATTGCTGCACCTCCCAGGTGGTTGGCCATTCCTGATTTCCTCAACTGTCGTTAGCTCTCTGCAGTCTCCTGTAACTGTTTTTTTCTAACCTCAGAACACTGAGCTCTGCAGCTGACCAATCAGGGTGGGGGGTGCAAGGAGGCAGCAGCCTGGCAGCTACACAGGAAGCAATGTGAGGAGCACATTTTACCCCTTTTGACCCCCTTAGGAGTCAAATTTCTAAAAATCCCTTCTTAGTGAACATCTACGTGGCAACAAATGGCGGTGGCAGCAAGCCCTGCCCCCAGCTCCCCGCACTGCACCCCCTGCCGTCTCCCCGGGCCAGCGCCAGAGCGCTGTGGCCCTGGGAGGCCAGAAACCCCCCCCCGCTGCCTCGTGTCTCGCTCTTTCTTTCCCTCCTTCTTTCCTTCTCTTTCTTTTCCTCTTTCCTTCCTTCTTTCCTTCTCTTTCACTCTTTCATTCCTTTGTTCCTTCTCTCAACACTCTCTCTCTCTCTTTCCTTCCCTCTTTCCTCCTTCTGCCACCCAACTCTAGTGAGAAGGGGTTTAAACTTTAAAACCCTTCTGTCTTCGCTTCCCCCCTCCCCCCGGCTGAGGAAGGGAAGGGGAGGCTTTTGAATATGCCTTCCCCCCTTTTTGCTTCCCCTTCTGACATCACTTTCGGTCACGTCAGGGGGCGTTGCATATGCTAATGAGCTATTATGCTAATAGCCTAGTAGCTCATTAGCATACCCTATGTTAATGAGCTCCTGCAGCTCTTTTTCTAGGAAAAGACCCCTGTAGATATAGATATAGATATTTTTGTTGATGATGTTCAGTCGCACAGTCGAGTCTGACTCTTCACGACCCCATCACGCCAGGCCCTCCTGTCTTCCATCATGCTCCGGAGTTTGCTTAATTTCATGTTCATATATATATATGTATGTATATATGTGTATGTGTGTTTTGATCACGTAATATTAAAGAGTTCATTATTTTCAATGATATAAAATTTAACTTGCTATATAAATAAACCGGTTATGACTGTAAAAAGCTGTTTCTGTCCAAACCTCTCAAGTAGCAAAAATTAAGGTATATATGGTAAGGTAGCACAGAGCACAGAATAATACAGCTCTTTGTCATATCTGGGTATGTTTGCAATTTGGTTGCAGAAAACGAAGGTTTTTATACTTTTAAATTTCATAAACATGCCATATAGTATAATTTTATATATGGGTTAGTTGTAAATGATGCATTTGTTGTCGCTAAAGTAGTAAAATAAGTTTAGTTCTGAAGTTTAATTTTGAAGGAAAGTAAGTATGTCATATATTTCATCCTCCCCAATTCCCCCCACTGCAGAAAAGATTTCTAAACCCCTCCCCAAAAAACCCACAACCTTTCTCCCCCATGGCTTCAAAAATTCCAGGCATTTTACATCTCTAGAACTTGTGGCTACATTGGTGTTATAGTAGTATCCTGTGGAATAAACAGAGAAATTTACCTAAATATGTCAGGGAGTTCTATTCAGACAATGACCAATGTATTTCAAAAGCCATTTCCAAAACTCTAAAGGGGTTGTGTGAATGAGTCATAATTGTTCCATTAATGGCTCCCTGGAAACAAAATTAGACCCATTTTGACTGTCCATGCAGTGTAGTGTAAGCATGCAGTGTAGACTGAGTATATTTCATTTAAGCATTTAGTACAAATATTGCTCATGATAAAGTTATGTAGTCCACTTCAATGTGTTGTATTTGAACATGGTATGACGGGGGATTCTGAGGTGTTTTCTGTCAGTTCCTGCATTCTGCTGAAAGTTACCCCACACTTAAGAAGGTGGGCCATTTTTTTTTCTTGTTTGTATGAGTATTGGTTTTATATTCATAATTTTTGTTCCTTATCATTTTGCTTAGAGCATTCTGGCCTGTAGAAAAACATTTCTGTTCCTTTATTGCTCAAGTAATATAGCAATAATATAGCAAATGTATTCTCTCTTTTTACAGGACTGCCTATTGAAAAGATGGTTCTTTATTTGGACTGGTTTGTTTATTTCCCACCAATGTTTTTATGCCATTGGATAGACATAACTTTATCCCTAAACCTTGAGGACCCAAATGTGTGTAGCCACTGGGAGAGGTAAAATTTCTGTTAATTACATTATCATCATATTTTGCTAGTAGCGTATGCTTATTTTAGTTCATTATATTTAAGGTGTATATTGCATGTTTTTTTAAAGTTATGGATTGGATTCTACCATTGGCATTGGCACTGGCATATTCTTCTGGCACAGAGCTTTCTGTAGATACACAGATTATTCTTCCAGGGAAGAGGCAGTGGAGGAAAATGTTATACCCAGCAGAACAGACATCTAGAATTCAACCCCCTGGACCATATTTCGATGTTACTCTATAGAAAAAATTACAAAACTCAACTAAATATGCATACTTAATTTTACATTAAAATGTATCCATATCTGGATTAAGGAACAGAAGTCATTATAAGTAACAGCCACACTAGAAATGAAGGATACCTTTAATCCAATTAACTCAGTGGGGGAATCTGCATGTTCAGAGTATAATTAGCCTGTTGGAAGCTATCCAGATATAATTATGAATCTTTTCTATATTAAAACTTGTTGGGTTAATTACTTTCTTATTTTGAAGAGGAGACAGGAAATTCAGAACTACATAACTTCAGTACAGTGTATTATTTACTTCAGCGCAGGGAGCAGATCTGTGCATAAATTATGTGCATGAAGCTATACACTACCCTAAAGTTAAAGGAGAAATAACATACACAGAAGCACTGTATGTTCATTGGAGTTCTTAAGTATGTATCCAAGGAGCTGTAGGGCTAGGGAGATTATTTAGTGCAATACCAAATTTGCAAATAATTATTACTACTGTTTCATCTTCATTCCTATACATTGTTATATCTTTAGCTTTCCAAGGAAGTTGTCACACATTAGAAAAGCCACTAAATTAACCTCCAATATATTTCACGGCAAACACGTAACGGACAGCTGCTGGTGAAAGCAAGCAAGCAAAGCCCCCCATCTGTCCAGTGGTTACTTCAAAATATAGTAATCTTTCAGCTTTCTTCCTGTATTCAGGGGTGTGGCAGGAGCAAAGAACATAGAAAATTACCATCTGGAAAGCTGTCATAGAACTTTAGTTGTACTGGAATAGACAGTAGAATGCACAAGTAAATTAGCTTTCATCAACTTGTGTTTGGCAATCCTAAATGTGTGCCCACCTAATAATGAAGTGTAATGACAATTCAGCTGAGATTTTAGAAGAAATTTAGAATACGGCCTCTGAGTAAATAAGGAATGAGAAGAATGACAATCTAGTTTGATTAATTTGCACAGTATTTTCTTAGGCAGTGATAAATAACTTGTGTGGTTATGTGATATGTCATGTATTTACAGGGAACCCACCAAGCAGTTCATATTCTCTACAGCCTTTTATTAGAATTAGGAAAATTCCAGTTTTCACTTTCCTAGAAAAGGAGCTTTCGAGGCTCTCCAGAAAAACTTATACATGTACAAAATGCTAGAAATTTGCAAACAGAAAAGCAAGATTTAAATTCTTGTTTTATATCCAGTTACCAAGATTTTCTGGGTAAAATCAGGTTTTTCACATTTGTGCTATTATTTTCATAATTATTTGTAGAGTAGGATCATCCAGCTCCAGTTTCCTGGTTAAAAAAATATGTCCAAATAATACAAATAACATTTTATCAGAAATATGCACATGCTAATCATAATGTGTCCTAACAGACTTCTGGTTTGTGCTGAAGTTCTCCATTCCTGTGTGAGAACTGCTGGGAGACTGCCGCTTACAAATTGGAGATGGATGGCAAGGAAATATTTTACCTGAGAAGGTGGAAGTGTCTTTATTAGATGCTGACATACCAAGCTTTTTCACCCTGTGACTTGATGTAGATATAAACCCAGATCTTCACCAGAAAAAGTGTGCCATTTATTTTCATCCTTTACAGCATTAATGCAAAAAACAGTTTTACCTACTAAGAAACACACAATGTTTGATAAAGCTAATTCGTTTTGAGCTGGAGTTAAATTCAAAGTTTTCTGAATGCAGAAGTCTTAAATTATGCTCTGCATGTGAAGGGAAGGAAGGAGAGCAATGGGGCTTGGCAACAAATTATGTTTGTGCTCATCATGGACAAACCTCTGTTTGTTATGGTATCTGAATGCCACCAATGTCTGCAGCTTTTGGAAACCTAAATTGGCAGCTCTTTGTGCTTCAGATCAGCAGAGGTTGTACTAGTGAACATGTTTAGTAATTCCTTTTTGTTTCTGCCCAGTTATTCTGTTACAGTGCAAGAATCTTATCCACATCCTTTTGATCAAATTTACTACACCAGCTGTACTGATATACTGAACTGGTTTAAATGCACACGACACAGGTAATCCCCCCCTAAATAAACTATCTGCTTTCAGTTTGCTTTGTTAGACTAACCCCTTGTAGGAGATAAGTGGCTGCTTCTTCATGTTAAAAAGAGCGTATACTAAGCTATTCATCAAGCACTTGGAATGAACCTAACACCTACAGGTTATGTGGGTGCAAACACCATATTTTGCATGGGACACATGACTTCTCTTGTAAATTACCTCTGAATGACCATGAGAAATATAAGCTGTTAAGCATGTTCTGTGGATCTTGCAAAGGATGGTTGAACTGTGAAAGACTGTGAGATGCAGAAGTGTAAAAATATATTCCCTAAAGTCCTCTAAAGAGAAATTATAAATAAGTGTAATGTTGATGCAGGTAGTTTGTTCTGTTTTTATTATCTGTGAAAAGACTCTTTCTTTAGTACTACTGCCTTACCTTGCATTGGGACTAGCATGTAACACTGACGAGGAACATGTTGTTTAACAAAGAATAGCTGCTCTTGAGTCTTACTTCATATGCTTTATGTTCATTAATATAAAAAGAAGCCAATTCAAATATTATTTTTTAAAGTTCCTTTACTCCTGGCTTGCTTTGTTCTGATTGCCCTATTCTTGCTTTCAGATTATACTTTGTATGTTTTGAATTTATACCAAAACGTCGGACCAATAAAAGATGAAGGTCACAATACTGAGATCTCAGTTTCATATTTAGAAATTGTATTGTGTTCTTAAGTTTATTTTTTCTCTAACTGTAACTAGTTTAGGAAATATTTGAATTCATGGTTTCCTGAGGAAAGCACTAATATGAACACTCCAATCAGTTATGTTTGTGGATTTTGACGTATAGGTCAAGCCAAAATATCCTTAAGTTGGATATTTTAAAATACATGTTAACTAATTTTAAATTCATTTGTTTGATAGAATCAGTTACCGTACTGCCTACAGACATGGAGAAAAAACTATGTACCGACGGAGATCTCAGTGTTGTCCTGGATTTTATGAAAGCAGGGAAATGTGCATCCGTAAGTGTAATTATCTTTATATTATTTCAATTTTCTTAAGTAATCAGGAGATTTGGTGCCTCAAAGAAATAGATCCTAAAGCCGCAACAGCTATTAGTTAATATTTTCTTCCATGAATCTTGTTGCATGGTAGATCCCTCTGCCCCGTTTGCTTGAAAAAGACTGCTGTTCAGAACATCCTCCTGAATTCATCTTCGTTGGAGGTGCCAATGCTGATGGATGCATAACTTTCTGAGTGACAGTTCCAGTTGGCAGTTGTACGTTCCTGCCTAACATCTCTGGTGCCAGGATTAGAAGAGCCACTGATTATTCCTTCAGCTGTCAGTCAGCCAGAAAGATTCTAGTGTGCAAGATTAAAAGTGGACAGTAGCTGTCACAGGAAATGGAGAACAAAACTGGTTTCTTCCTGCAGAGGAAGAGATGGAAGTCTTGGACCATGAATACTGGCCTTCAGATGGACATGACAAAAAGGATTATTCTCAAGGTCCAGTCTTTAAAAACATCAGTTTATCTCCAGGGAGCAGATGACATTTTGTTGTTGGCTTCTGTTTTCACTTGCAATTCCAAATTCTGGATAGACTGAGATGACTCCATGAATTGTTAGGTTGCACATATTTGGTAGAGCGTTAGGATTTAGTGAACAGCTAGTTTCCCTATGAATTTTGATATTCCCTGGGGAATAAAATTCCTATTGCTACTTCACTCATATATCACTGGTAGTAATGGAATCTCAGTGAAAGTAGCAAAAGAAACTAAAAATAGCTACTCTGTTAGAAAAATGAAACAGTATATATAAATTTTAATGTATGTTTCTCAAATGTCAGCATCTTACTTGTCTTGTTGATTGTGTAAATAGTATTAAAGTATTTGTTTTCTGTCTCCACTTATTATAGCTGTTATTGATGCCTTGTGCATACTTTAAATAGTAGAAAAATTTGTCCAGAAAATACTCAGTGGACAGCTATCCACTGCCCTATAGTTATTACCATTTATTCTTTGTACCATTCATTTAGGGTCATAAGGGAGATACCAGTGAAGACGCATAACACCTTTTTTGTAAAGAGTCATCCTCTAGTCTACAGTGTGTCATAAATAGAAATAATACTGTACAGCAGGGTTATTTGTTAGTTTATATGCTGCTACTTTTTGTTTATTGTTATTTTTATGTTATGTTTTAATTTGTTTTGTGGTTTTTATAAATTTTGTCAGCTATCTTGAAGATTTTAAAAAAATAAATAAAAGCAGGCTATAAATATTTTAATGGACAAGAATAAATCAGTTATTCCACTGTTATCAGCAATATGGCAAGATGGATCTCTGCACCAGGGGCAAATCTAAAGAGCACAAGTACTCGCAAATGGCAGCATGATTTGCAAATAAAGTCCCTCATTTAGTCCTTCCCATGTGCTCTCCTTATAGCAGTATATGTCTGACGCAATGTGTTTAAGGTGTTTTTCAGTCAGTAGTTGAAAAGATAAGGATTACATAGGACTATTTCTTGCTCAGCTGTAAGCATCTTTGTAGAAATCAATTCAATTTTATTGTGATGGTAATAATTAGGTGATGCTGAATGGGCTAGCTGCCTGTACTTCCTTACATTCTTTGTTGCCAGTGGGACTTGGGAATTACATTAGGCTTTGTATTTTAACATCTTAAAATTTCCTGGCAGACCATGACACGAAACCTCCCCTTTTTTATACCTTCCTAAGAGTCTCCAAGACTTTGAACATAGTCCAAATGTTAATATCCGTACAGCTGCTTCTAGTGTGTTATGTATCTCCCTAACAGCTGTGCTGTTTGTTGTGCTTCTTAGCACATGTACAGATGATGCTTCCTAGTCTGTTGCCAGCATGAAAATCAACCTAGAAAGTTGTGAAAAGTCAGAACTTAATCATACAGCCCTTGCTTAATGCATCATATTCAGGATGATATGTCTCAAGAAGAATTAAGTTGCATATTTGCATAATTTCAAAAAATGAGCAAAGATGGTATAGTAGAGTGAAAGAAGAAGGGAATAGGAAACTCGGAAAAGAAAAGGGGATCAAAGTTCCTTTTGGGTTCTACATCCATATTTTCAAGTTTATTTAATAGATAGTTGCCCTTTCCCAGTCATGTGCATTTAACATGTGTTTAGTTAGGTTGTAAACCATTGTAAGGTATGGAGAGAAAGGCTTCTTCTCTATGAATGTATTTGGCATGATGCTTACCTGCATTAGTGATCATGAGTACTGAACCAGGGAGTAATTGCAGGGAGTAATTGCAGTACTGAACCAGGGAGTAATAATAATATACAGAAAAAAAATGCAAGTTAGGAAAAAACAATTTAATATCTCTGTTCATAGAAGATGTGAATAAAATAATCTGTACCACTGTTTCATGTTTTACATTAATTTTATTGAAAACTTTTTGTGAGAAATTTTAAAATAGCTTCCCTTCCTCTGTATGTTGTTTTCGACTGTCAATACACTAAATCATAGGTTGTTCTTGTTACTTTCTTTTTTATTATTATTGATATTTTACAGTGTTTTCCCCAGTTAACATAATGTGGATAACAACAACAATAAATAAAGGGCTTGAGTGATGGCCTAAAGACAGGGTAGGAGACAGTTAATGGGTAGAAATTGTAGGGGAGGTGGGGAAGGTACATAGGATAAGTACAGAGGTACTTGTATGGGTATAGAATTGGTGTAGAGGAGGAAGACAAAGTATGCTGGGATGAGTGGGAAGGCAACTGTTCTCTTAATAATTAAACATTCACAGTTACTGGTATATAAAAGGTTAAAGAACATGATAAAGAATAGATGCTTCAAACCAACAGGCCATGTTGGTCTGAAGCAACAGAAGAAAGTCTGAGTCCAGTGGCACCTTTAAGACCAACAAAGTTTAATTCTGAATATAAGTTTTCATGTACACGCACTTCTTCAGATACATTAAAATAGACATCCTCAAGCCTTACATATAGGTAGAGGGGGGGGGAAGGGGTTAGTTGGCTTGAGAAAGTCTGTTTCAATGTGTGCATGCACATGAAACTTATACCCAGAATTAAACTTCTATGGTCTTAAAGGTGCCGCTGGACTCAAACTTTGTTCTATGATAAAGAATAGACAAATAAGTAAATAAATGGTCTATGTTAGTTGAAAATCTTAAATGAGAAAGCAGAGAAGGCAAAAACAGAATATACTTCCTTTCCCAAAAGTACTAGGTGATACACATTCTCTGAAAAACACGAAGTACTTTTGCCTGACTGAGTATATAGAACTGTAATAGCCATTGTGGGATTCTTGCTGAAATTTGGAGACTGGAGAAAACATTAAATACCTAGAAATTGTGAGGAAGTTGTAAAAAGTTTAAATATGCTAAGATTTCCCTTGTTTTTAGGAGAAACTGGAGACACCAGAAAACAGCTGAGTTGTTGAAAGCCTAGGTTTTTATCCCCTACTTTTTTCTAATTTTATTCTTCCTGATTTCTGTCTTGTCTTCTGACAGCTCATTGTGCTGATAAATGTGTCCATGGCCGTTGTATCGCTCCAAACACCTGTCAGTGTGAGCCTGGCTGGGGTGGACCCAACTGTTCCAGTGGTAAGTCTACATCTGTTGCTGTCTGTCTTGTGCTCTGTCTGTTCTGTTGCCCTTATTTGTGGGCAGGTTTCAAGCGATTTGTGCCAGGATTCCCGGTTTCCTGCCTAAAGAGTCAACTCTGATTTACATAAAGGTATAGGAACTCTGTAATCCATTTTCTTTTAAAAGTTTATTTTTTAAATCCCTGAAGTGCCAAGCGTCATCAGCTAAAAGCTCACATTAATTCACTCCTTCACTCATAGGGTACAATTGCTAACAGACTACATAGAAACAGATGATACGTAAAACTGTAATCGCAACAAAAATGTTGGGAACAGGCCACTGCAAGACATTTTGATTTACATGACTGCAGTCTTGCAGACTTGGAAATAATTTCACCGGGAAAGCCATCCAATCCTGACATCCTGGAACACTAAAAGTAAGAGATATACAGACTGAAGTTACAAGTGACCCTGTAGCCTTCATTTGGAGGAGAAAGTCTCTCTTGCACTTAAACAGTAGATGTCATCTTCTCCCCAGCATTAGCATTCTTAGGACGCTCTTGAGTTCTCAGTGGGTAATCTAGCTGTGTTAGTAGTAACAAAACGATAAACAAATAATTTCATGCCTGTCTCTGTTTTGTCAGTCATTCACACGTGTGTGTGCATATGCGCATGTGTGCCCATCACTTGCTTACTTAATCTTTGTCCATGCTGACTGATTAAACCTGACTGATTTAAGTCTGGTAGAGAGGTACTGTTACCTAGCCTCTTGCCCTGTTTTGGGAAACAGTACTAGCCCAAGGCCTGGAGCTGGCATCATTAAGAGAGGGATCCCATGCCTATGGCCTCAAAGTAAGCTATGACAAGGCCATTAAAAATCTTTTGTCCTTATGGATTTTAACATCTATTGGCCAATTTTAAATTTCTTTTCTTTTCTTTTCTTTTGTACAAAATGCTGTGAGAGTGGTGGCAATTCAATCGTGGGCATTTTTTGTTGATAGCGGTTATCTGGGTCTTAATCTGGCTTCCAACGTAGGTATGAGTTAGAAATTGCTGTTGTCACCCTGTGATTCACCTGTACTGAGCAAATAATCTCTGCTGGTTCAGCTTGATCCCCTTAGCAATACCATGGACCATGGTGTACTTCTGCATTGCTTAACTGGAATGGATTGTGGTGGAGATATTTTGCAGTGCCTCTGTCTTTCCTGGTAATGAGCTCTGAGAAGGTAGTGCTGGATTGTTGTTGCTTGGTAGCTGGCTTACAGAATAAAACATGATTACATTTGGTGACCCATGCTGATTAACATGTGTATGAAAATTCTGGGACAGATCATTTGAAGTACAATGCCATCAGTGTTCCCTCTAGACTGAATTAGTGTGAGCTAGCTCACAGTTTTTTAGCCTCCAGCTCACACGTTTTTGTCTTAGCTCAGAAAGGATGGCTCCAGAGCAAACTAATTTATGCAGTAGCCAAATCGCTCGCTCACAACTTTGATGCCAGTAGCTCATCAAGTAGAATTTTTGCTCACAAGAGTCCACAGCTTAGAGGGAGCATTGATCAGTATGCTGCTGACAGTCACCTGTATATCTCTTTTCCATTTTATTCCATATATGTGGTGGAAATCCTAAACTGTAGTCTTGAGTCAGTAAAGAGCTGGATGTGTGCAAGAAACTGAAACTGAATTCAGACAAGACAGAAGCACTGTGGGTTAGGGGTAGAGCCACGATACAACCTCCAATGGCTAGGGCTGCAGTTTCCTGAAGGATCCAGTTCCAAGCTTCAGAGTTTTGCTCAAGCCATGGCTGCATGACTGCTGTGGCTAGAGAAGCAGATGGCAGAAGTGGCCAGGAGTGCTTTTTACTGGTTTAGGTTGGTTCTTCAACTGCAGCTGTTCCTGGAGAGGGCAGACCTTTACACAATTACACTTAAGCTTTGTAATACCTAGATGAGAATACTGTAATATGCCCTTCATGGACTTTGAAAGAATGTCCAGATACTTCAGTTGCCTCAAAACATAGTAAGGTAAAGGTTCCCTTGCTCGAAAGCCAGTCGAATCCGACTCTAGGGTTGCGGTGCTCATCTCCGTTTCAAAGCCGAAGAACCAGCGCTGTCCGAAGACATTTCCATGGTCATGTGGCCGGCATGACTAAACACCAAGGCGCACAGAACGCTGTTACCTTCCCACTGAAGTGGTACCTATTTATCTACTTGCAATTTCTTGCTTTCGAACTGCTAGGTTGGTACGTAGTACCCAGGGTCTTAACATGGATTTGTCATGAAGAGCATATAATGCCAGTGCTGTGTCATCTTCACAAGTTTCCAGTGTTTCTGGGCCCAAATCTGAGAGCTGGTTTTGACTTCTAAAGCTGTAAACAGCCTCAGACCAAGGTGTCTGAAGAATGCCCATACACCCCAGTTTGGGACCAAAGATCAACTGGTAGTCCCCTATTTTGTGAGTTGCTTTGACAAAGGTAAACCTGGTGGGCATAAGGAGAAGGGCTGGCTTAGTGATTATCCCCAGGCTATGGGATTCTTTGCCCTCGAAGGTCCATTCGGCTCTTCCGGGCTTCTGATTCTCTGTTCCTTTAGGGCCTTTGGAATTGTCTGAATTTTTGTGGGCTCATTGGTGGAGCGCTTTTATTGTTGCTGACTTGTTACTTAATTTGTTCTGCAGCTTATTATTAACTGGTTGTCCCTTCTCTTGATGTTGCATTTCAGTTTTATTTTGTGTTGTACAGTTTTGCTTTTGTAAGCTGCCTTGAGTACCAAATACAATAGGGAGACAGGTGGTTTATAAATATTCTAAATAAATTAATTAACAGATCAGTCCAAAGGCAAGCTGAGCTAATATTAAAGCACTTAGAATGGGATACAAAGAGCAGTATGCTAACAATGCATGTAATATTAATTCAAACACTTCTGTAGTTTCGCATTTGGGTAGTAGTTATTGGTACTGGCTGAATGGATGTCTCTAGAACAAAAAATAAAAGTGGGTTTTCTTTTCCCCCTTTCCTTTCTGGTAGTCTTCTTATCTTGGAGATTTGCAGTGTTCATTTAGATCTTTACATTTGTAAAGCCACAGCTGTACTAAGTTGCATATAGTGAAGGATCAATGGAATATTCATCTGCAGACTAATAAAATAAGGTTTTGTTTCTTTAATTACTCTAAAAATAAAGTTAACTGATATCAGAAATTCACCAGTTACGTTTGAGAGACTGAAGTTCTGTTGTTCTCCATAATCATTTTCTCTTTCTTTACTTGTGCTGTTGCTAAAGCTCTTTCTGTTACTGCCTCTGTTCACTCACTGCTTGCTACTAGTGGAACCAGGTCCAACAGTGCCAATACTGTGTTCTTGCTATGCACAATAGAAGTCATGTGAAAAAGCTCTTGTTGCTGTACCTTGAATTGTGTGGTCCCCTGGGATGTTTGTGATCTCCTATAAAAGTTTTTGCATACTGATCACAGCTAACTTGAAGTTCTAAAAATTGTTTCAGATTGTTATACTTAGTGGTGGATTAGAAAGGAAAAGGGCATGTTGTTCACATGCTACTGAGGCAGAGTTTGGTGAAAGAGGTCCGGTCTGGGCTGCCTGGCATGCATCCATGTTTCCCTAGCAGACAAAGAAGAAATGAGATGATGCTTTTATTGGATTGTCCTGCTGCAAATTGAATTATCCCCAGGCATTCCAAAATGAGTAACACTTTCAGCCTGCATAATTTCAGCAATGCTGTTTGTTATTATTTGAGCCATCAGATATGTGTGATTTCCTCATCTCTGTTGACAAACAAAGCTTTCCTCTGCAGACTGGTAGTGAAATTCTCATCAGATCCATGAATGAGTGGCTAGAAGGAAGTACTTTATATTATTCTCTGGAATTATTTCACAGCATTCATATCATATTACAACTCTTTGTATGAAAACTCTGGTTTTAATTTTTTTAAAGAAAAAAGTTTAATCATAACATAGTTGTTAGATACCTTAAAACAGTAGCTGGGGGACAGAAGAGGGAGAATTAAGTACCCCTCTTCCTACCACTGCCCCCAAACAATTTGGAGCCCCCTGCCATATGCTTTTCACTATTAAAAAAGAGTGGTCTAGTCATTGATATTCAACATCACATGCACTTTGGCCCGTGGTCACTACTTCACTCATAAGGATTTTGTAGATACACTCTTATGTAAAATAAAGGGAGGAAAACAACGCACTGATCTATTTTGGTATTCTTTCCCTTGACATATTTATCTTAGCATTGTTTGTACTGAAGGACAGCTAAGACACTGTCACATACAAAAACATACACGTAATAGACTGATCCGTTGGTGTGGCCAACTGAATTTTTGCGTATTTGCTCTATAGGAAGCAAAACTTCTCCCAGGGAAAGTTTAGGTCCATTCCATGACTCCTTTGCATGGTGTTATCACTAGGCAATTTGATCTGTTTCAGGACACTGTTGTTTCCATAGGGTCTTTACTAACCACTATAACAATTGTGCTAAAAATTTGAAGTGGCATGTTAGATTATTGCAGGGCCCAGTGTCTCCCGAGGGCAGATGGGTGCAGGAGGTTTAAGAGCAGGAGAAACTCCATAACAGAAATCACAAAATTTGGGCTTGCAGCTGAACTTTTCAACTTTATCGGTGTCATGGGACTATGGTTAAAATATGTGCAGCCTCTGCTATAGAGTGGCAAATGTTGTGTCTTGCATCGGTCATCCCAAGACATGCTGCATCACTGTCTTTAATGCCTGCCCCAGCATTTGACCCTGTCCCTCAGGCCTTGCTCCCGACCTTCTTTGGGTCTCCTCAAGTCCTTACATTCCCAGAGGCACACCCTTGCCTCCTAGGATAGCTGAGACCATTATCCATCCCTGCCTCACCAAGTGCATGTTGAGCCACATGTGCCCCACCGGGACATTTCACCCCACTAACCTCAGACTGGAATGGTCATGCCAATGCCCTTGGGGCACCTGCCCTGCCTGGGCCAGTTCAGACCCACTGATAGTATTAATGCAGCTTCTT